TTTCTGATCTGAGCTGATATAAACCAGCGAGGGTGGGAGGCAGAGGAGGATGAAGGGAGGAAGATGGAGGGCAGTGCGTACAGACAGTCCTAACCCATATAAAAAGCAGAGGACACGCAAAGTGTGAGATTTAAATGTCTCATATTTGATGCATTCATGAACGTGGGTCTGTGCAAGGATCCGTCTGCAGGCTTTGAAGTTTCCCACACGAGCTCGTTCAACGTGTCTTTGAACAACGTGTGATTACAAAGCTGCTAAAATACAGAAAATTAAACAGGGAAAGTTTAATTTTTAGTTTTTGTCCACGAACAGTAGTGTTTGAGTTAAACATGCCTGTAACAAAAATAAGCCCACATAACAACAACAACAACAACAACAACAACAACAACAATAATAAGAATAATAATAATAATAATAATAATAATAATAATAATAAGAAGAAGAATAATAATTATTATTATTATTATTATTATTAATCCCAGAAATTACATGAAATGAAAACTAAAACTTATAAAGCAACTAAATCAAAAAATCTCTGTTTAAATTTAACTAAAAAAATCCAACATGATAATAATTCTGCTTGTTCAGCTGTTTATAATGAAAACAGCAGGAAACAGCGAGAGCTGACCTTCAAAGTAAAAGCTTTTAAGCAGCATTAATAATTAATATTATGTGTTGTTTCTTTGTTAAATTTTAATTCATTGATCTGAGGAGACTCCTGTGGGTCCGGAGGTCAGACCCACAGCCTGGCGTCTCTCCACGGCCCTGCAGTCACTGGGACTCACCGGCTCACGTATTTCACACCTTTTCATGCTTCCCATCAAATTAAAATGCTCTTATTAACACATGAAGCTTTACATGGACATGATAATAATAATATTTAAGTGTGGGGTGAGTGTGCCGGTGCTCTGGTTTCCTCCTGCCGGCCACAGACTTGCATGTTGGGTTAATTAGTGGCTGTAAATTAGCTGCAGGTGTGACTCGTCTGTAATCTGAGGTCCAGCTCTGCTTTTACTTCATGTGTTTGTAGCTGTGTTAACAATGAAGCCTCTGCAGCGCCGTCATTAGTCTGACTGACTGTGTGCGATCTCCTAATGTGTGGTTTGCCAATAAGACAGTTTTGGTGCATTGGTGAGGTTTGAAAGTTGAGTTTGGGGTTTAGAGATTTGAGTCACAGCAGCTGTGGAAAAACCATCAAAGCAGATAGAAACGAGGGATGGAAAGAGTTTGGGCGAGCGAGAAGGCGTCAATTATTTCACATGAAATGAGAGCGTGATGGATCCGTACGAGAGGAGGAAGCATCAGGACAACTTGATGTTCCTCGTTTGCTTTTGTCTCACACGGCATTCGTGCTTCTTATAATTATGATAGATGACACAAAAAAACAAGGTCAGGGCTCCTCCCAC